ATTGAGCCCTTTAGATGACAGCTAGAAACAGCTTTTACCAAAGCATTAGTATTTGTTTGAAAATTTGCAATTTACATACTAGTGACACATAGTACTTTCAATTTTAGGAACACGTATACATGTATGCTATAGTTTATTTCTGATAGCTTCTGTATGACTACCAGCTTGCTCTTCTAATGAGTCTCTTCAACTGCTTTGAAATATCTGTCCCCTCTACTATATCATGTATCCTTTACATCCTTTCTTAATTCATATTTTGGGTTCCTCATTCTAAATATACCATGTTGTTGAAATTTTGGTATCTGAAATTTTTACAATTGTGGATCTAGATCCACCCAGTTGTTGGCAATTGACTCTATTTCACTCTTCTCTATGGCTGAATACTATTTAGGTATGTATAAGCACCACATTTTTTTTAAATGCTGGAGATCTGATCCAGAGTTTTACCACTGATCTACATTCTCAGCCTTACATTGGGGAGGGGTTACCAAGAATAAAACTCATGACCTGGTGCTTGTCAGGATGGTGCTCTGCCACTGAGCCATATCTCTCACCTCTGTATTGTGTTTTAAAAGTTTTAGCCATCACTTAGTTGGCAGGTTAAGCATGAATATATGATCATGCTCCCACAACTTCCCAGAGTCCTAGAATTCCAAGCATGTACCATCATGGTGACACTATCCCATATTTCCCTAATAACTCTTCTGTACATGGGCATCCAGGCCTTAACTTTTGTCAGTTGCATGGCTATGTGCAAGTGGAATGCATGCATCACTGTTGATATCTACTTTGAATTTGGGGAAAATATACTCAGGAAAGGCATACGTGACTAAAATGGAATTTGTATTTCCACTTTTTTTTTTTTTTTTTTTGTCGCCAGCTCAGCTTGCCTTGGGAATGGGGCTGGTGCTGCATGTGATTCCAGGAATGGAATCTTGCTCCCTGTGCTTGCCTAAGCTTGCCTAAGCAGACACTTTAGACCACTGAACTAACTCACTGACCCTATTTTCACTTTTGGGGGGGCAGTCCAAAAACATTTCAATAGATATTACACTTCAAGAACATTCCTGCCAAGAATGCTAAAAGATGACTGCTAATATTTTGGAACACGAATGCACTGACTGTAGGAAGAGTGCCTGAAAACACAATAAAGCAACACTGGAATTCATTTAGAGATTAAATACTTCCACAGGGTATGCAAATTTTCAAAGAAATGTATATACCACATTTAAATACATAGGGCATTTTACCAAACTTGGTTGATATGAAAGGGGTCTTCAGAAAATAATACATATGTATGAACAGTCTGAATTTGGTTCATACTCTAGACATAAGTTGTTTTATATACTCCTATAACCAATTCCTGAAAGCAATGTCATTTAATACTTTTATAAACTTGAGCATGAAAAATAATTTATTTTCATATGTTAAAGAACATCACCTACGGCATGATGTCAGTATTGCCTGAATTTTAGATATTGGAATATTTCAAATATTGAATTATTAGATTATAGATTCTCAACACATACTACACATTTGGAGAAATTTCCTGAGATTAAAGATAGTGAAAAACTCACCCTCATTTATAGATTTCTTGGTTTTAATACTTCTGACTCTTAAGGACTATTAGTAAGAATAAGTTACCTTAGATTTTCCCTGCAATTTTTGTATGAATCTTCAGTTTGGTGCTCATCCCAGTTCCTTCCTAAAGTACACAAATAGAAATGTTAGAGTTTGTGTCTAGATGACTTCCCAAAGCCTTACGTAGTCATATGAGGAGCTTTTTGGAGGTGGCTGGATTGTGCACGTGTGATATTGAGATTAAGACTGTGATAAAGGCATTGATCCATAAGAGTGCCCCGTCCTGGATGTGAGTGCAACTTGTCTTTGTCCTAAGGACAGGAACCTGGGTAGATTAGAAGGGACATACAGAAAGCCACTGTTGCCAACTGCTTTCTGTGGTGCCACTAGGCCAGACCACCCTGCCATGGGGCCTGCTACCTGTGGACTGAAGTCTCTACAGGTTGTGAGCAGATGTAAAGCTTTAACTTTGGCTGCTGGGCATTTTGTCTCAGCAATGAGAAAAGTAACTAAGACAAGATATATGATGACTTGCTACATTACATATCAGTCTACAGATTCCAGTTAAATTCCAAGTACGCTGTGACCATCTCTGGAAGAGTCATCACGTGTTTCCATATTCCAATTTAATAAACTACACTGAGGTGCAGTAACCAATACTCACTACATGCACAAATGGAAAAGGATATCTTCCTTACCTACAGCAGCCACATTCCTAAAGTTTTCGCACATCACATCTCTGTAGAGCTTCTTTTGGGAAGGATCAAGCATGTCCCACTCTTCCACAGTGAAGTTCACAGCCACATCCTCGAAGGACACTGCATCCTAAATCATTAGACACATATGTCCAGGAAAAAGAATGAGATTTAAACTGGAAATGTTTGAACTTTACCTGTAAAATCCTGACATAAGGCTGATTATCGCAAGTGTTTCCTTCACTTCTTGGTCATCAAGCACTTATTCTCTAACCATATAAGCATGTCAGAAAGGAAATCCAATGATAGATTGAAATTCATGGCTAAAGCAACAGTGAATAGGAATACTGGGTATCCTATTTATTAAGACTAAGGAATTACTTTCTTTTCTGATTTTATTTAGAAAATTTAGAAACTTGACCTATTTCATAGATTAAAAAATTTACTGAACACTGAACTAAAATTCATGGAATGCTAATAAAAATATTGATTTTGGGGGGTTACAAACAATGAAATTGATTAACAAAAATCCATTAAGTGACCTCAAAGATTCCTCAAAATATTTTTTGAAAATGAAGTAAGTAATCAGTTAATTGTCTACATGAAGACAATCAAGCAACTGCCTTAAAAATGGGAAAATAAGTAGAGGTAACTAAAAGATAACAGAAAAAGATAGAGTTTTTTTTAAAAAGTATTATCAACAAAGATGTAGACAATAAAGAAAAGAATTTAAAAGGTTATGTAAGCCTGCAAAGTAGCTGAAAGTAACCCAGTGTCATAGATTCTACTACATTTAGCAAGAAATCACGTTCAAAGGCATAGCAACAACCACGTACTTGGATATTTCACTAGCACGTAGTATGAATGACATAAGTTATACCTGGGTTGCAATGGAGCTGAATATCTCAGAACACAGAGGCTATTTCCATGTAAGATAAATAATTTCTGACATGAAAATCAGGAAAAACTTAGGACATAGGCCTACAGGATATTGTAGACAACAACACTAAGTGAAATTATGTTAAATTTCCAGTTAAAATAAATAAGAAGACACCAAAACTGTATAAAATTATCACAACTAAACCAAATAGAAATGAGTAAGAAGAAGCATACTTTTTTAATTTATGAATTGTTCACAGAAAAAGTTAAAAGATCATGTGAGTGGATAAGAAAACAAAACTTACGTTCTCTGTGGCAAAAAAAAACTCATTTCACACAGAAGAAAAGGGATAGACATATTTAAAAATTGAAAAATGTATTTGGCAAGGAAAATGAGCACAAGATATTTGTTATGAACTACTGTAAACACAATTAACAACAGTACAATTTACTCTGAAATTAACAGTCGTCAAGTTGAAGTGCTCTCAGTACAAAGGAAAAAAAGACATTAATCTGCCTATTAACTTGTAACGACGTATTAGAAAAGTGCTTCAAAGTATCAGGAATTAAGCTATAAATGGATTGAATTTCTATTTCTAAGATAAAACTGTCTTGAGAAACATAGAGCATTATGTTCTATATTGTTAAAATTAAATGATCAACAATAATTACCAGAATTAGTAAGTTAGCCTAGCATGGTATATATCACAAGAAAAAAAGCCAAAATACCTGTTAATTAAAAGTCAAGCTTATCCCACTAAATTAGAGATTTTAAACATCAAGCCAAATGTTCCACAGAGGGATACAGAAACAACTTCACATACATTTAAAGCCTACATATGAAAAATTCTCAGGTCTAGATGTAGGCAACAAAAACATGGAAAAATTGCATTTAAACTAGATGGATAAATATGAATATATTAAATCACTTTAAAGATTCAATTTAATTTATTATGACTTGCTGAAAATGGCAACAATAACATTTTAACTATACCAAAAACATTTAACAAGAAGAAACCATGCAAGGCCAGATGCAGAGGAATAAGTGAGTGAAGCAGCTGAAATGCACCACTCTCTACAACCCTATAGGCAAGAGCCTAAGGCAAAGAAAAGAAAAATTATGATTTTTGTATATTAATAATGCTATGTTAACCTAAATTGTTAACTCATTCAAAATTTCAGTGAGGCCGGCTAAATAGCTCAGCAAATTAAAGCACCTGCAAGCAGATGCAGGAGCTAGGCGTTTAATCCTTAGGCCTGCAATGCTGACCCTACCTCTAGGGCGCACTGTGACAGCAATTGAGACTGGGTGTGGTGGCACACGCCTGTAATCCCAGCTCTTGGGAGGTTGTAAACAGGTGGATCACTACAAATCCAATCTAATAGTGAGACCCTGAACACCCTGTAGACTCTTCCCTAAAACACACACACACACACACACACACACACACACACACACACAAAATTACACTGAACTTGAACCAAATGACACTCTATTAGTGATGAGATGCTAAAACTTTAAAGAAAAGGGACTGGGGAGATAGCTCAGGAGAATAAGCACTGGCAAACGCAAGGGCCTGAGTTCAATCCCCAGTTCTGCCAAAAAAAGTAAAATAAATAAATAAATAAATAAATAAAACTTTAAAGAGAATTCACATTTTCTGTCACCCCTGGGCTTGCTGGTGAATCCATCCATACAACTAGACTGGAATTAACCCAAGTTGATTTGCTAACCTGAGTGAGTATTCTGAGGATTTTCATACACATTTAAAATAAATATAAAGAAATCATTTACTTCTAAATTAGTGTAGGCTTCTCCAGATGTAATCATGCTGTGTGTTCTTTTTCCAAGAAAGTTACAATCTCATGGTTAAATCATGAAAAAAATATCCCTAAGATAAATTCCATTTTATACACTCATCTCACTGCAAAAGAAACAAGGGGAAAAAGAAACAAGGGGAAAGTAGCTCAGGGAAGAAGCCTATGTCACCACTTTACAAGAGAACCCACATTCAGATAGCTGCACAATTTCCAGAACTTACCCATGACTTTCACTATACACATGAAATCAAGGGAATCAAGGCCATCAAGGGAATCAGTTGGCAATCAAGGGAAACATGAGAAGCCAGAAGACTTAAAACTGGAACTTATCTACTCCCATACTCCCAGGGGACATTGCTTTCTTGTTCACTGGCTGAATAATGAACACAAACCAACACTCTCCAATAGTCATTGGAAGGTTGACATTGTCTGAACTCAAATATGTTGGTTTTTTGACCACCAGGCAATTTTCAATCAGAAAAATTTAGGCCCAAATTTTAATACAGATACCACCAGTAATACAGTTTGGACAAAGTCAGAGCATTCTCATACTTCAATGCATCATGTACAGATTTCAGGCCAAAGCATGTGTTACTTCATCATGAATCATCACCTGAACTAAAGGGTAGCACAGCAAGGCACTCCAATAAAAAAAATGAAGATACTGCCTCAAAGTGTTTATGATAAGAAGAGACAGACATTTCCGCTGTTCAGATTGTTATGACATTATTAGAATTCTCTATTCCAGAATATGAGGAAAAGATCATTTAAGAAACATACTATTCACAGAATTACATTTAGACATATGGACATGTCTCTACAGGAGAAAATAATTCAAAGCTGTGTTCAATTCCTTTCTTTACATATATTTAATAGACAAAAATTGTGACTTTCTGAATGTGAAAACTTGATGGTGCTTAATTTAAATAAGTACTCTGATCTTGGTAAACAGAATTGATTAGAAATCCCCTGATTGGGTGTACTGATCTACCATTCTAGGAGGCTAAGGGAAATCATTCGCAGTGTCCACCCCAGCATCCGTAACAGTGGGAAGTAGTTTCAACATAAAAAATAAATTAGAAGCATAGAAAAGAACTGGCTACAGTTCAGAGGGAGCATCCTGTGTTCTACCCTGAGTACTCTTCTGGTGACACATAATACTATTTAACAAAACTTTTAACCCACAACAATGACAGAAACAGATTTTAATTTTCAATCTTCCCAAAAAATCAAGGAAGTGTACTGATCAGTAGTAATAGAAGACATAAATGTATGTCTTTTCTTTAGACCTGCAATAATTTGCCCATACTCAAGCCAAGTTAGCATACAACCCTGCTTTTAATGTCACACTAAAAACATTCAGGCCAGAAGGGAAAAGTTTCTCGGTTTCAGGAGCTGGCCTTGCCACTTTCCATCATCCTCTCACCTCCTACATTGTATCTAGTTCACTCTGGTCCTTCCAGTAAAGAGAACCTTTTTAAGCTTAACTGTTGGAAGGCTGACAGAGCTGCATTTGGGGATTTACTTGTATTGCAGGATTGCTTTAATACAAAGCCTATCTCATTCTGCATTTCATTCTTTAAAACATCATTTACAAACTGATAGGTTTCACTATAGTTCACCTACACTTGCCCAAGTTTTGGGAATAATGGCCTCTGAACACCTGAGACCTGGGAATAACCACAAACTGACTCCCATACCCTGTCCATGCCCCACTCATTCTGTTTGAAGTCAGTGTACCCAGGTAAGACTTTTTCACAACAGCAAGCAAAAAACTCAGCCTTTGCTACTTAGCTATTTTACTTCCCTAATCTCATGCTCCCATTCTGTTAGCCCACCAGAACCAAAAATCCAGTTCAATCAACTGGTAGACTCTCCTGTAAGAGCTACCTCCTGGGGTCCTATTCTGAGCCTAATTTCTGGCTGATTGTGTTCTTTTATTGAGTATTCACCATTTTGATGGAACACAATCAGATGTGGACAACAGCAATTATGTGAGAAATTGCAAATATCTCTATTAATCACACATCACAAATACATATGAATGTCCTACTTTAGAAACTCTCAGTGTGAGTTGAAAAACTTCAGAGGCTTTTAAGGGTATTCATTAAAGAATTACTTCATCCATTTTGCTGTATTTGTAAAGTCCTCAATGATTTTCTTGGTCTTTTAAATTATAAAAGACCTCTTTACTTACTTACATTTATATATTTATTATTTATTGTATTGCTGTGGATAAGTAGCTGGAATTTAAGCATTTATGCCAAGTGAGATATCACTGTGACTCAGGCACCAACATAACGACTTTTTTTCAGATTTTCATGGCTTTCCAAACCACCATATAATGACTTTGACAACAAACAATAAGCAGTAAGTCAGCCTCTCTGAGACTCACAATATACTGGAATTCAACATTATGGGGCAGAAAAG